ACTAGCAGGTCTGATAAAATGATATTGGAGGACTATTCTGTTGAGGCTTCATCTGATCTCAATATAACAGATGATGCTGTCCCCATGGAAGCTTTGCATAAATTACTCTTACATTACTGTGTGCAGTATAATTTGCCAAATCTTTTGGACCTTTATCTTGACCATTGCAAGTTGGTTCTAGATAATGATTCAGTTGGTTCATTACAAGAAGCTGCAGTAAGTTTCCTCATGTCCATTGAGTCTAGCTGTTCTTTACATCGTATATCTCTGATTCTTTGCTTATGTACAGTTCATTTGTATGTTTTTTTTTTTTTTTGCAATTTCTTCTCTCCCTTGCCATATATGTTGTGGAAATTGTATGACTTTTCATTATAGTTTAGTAGTACAATACATCAATAGACAAATGGGAAAACAAATTCATTGAATCAGACCCGTGAAAACTTGATAAGAAACATTGGTGGTAACAAGCCAAAACAATGGGATTATGCCTTTGCACAAGTAGAATTTGCATACAACAGTGCTAGGCACAGTGTCGTGTAAATCACCATTTGAGATTGTGTTTTTACAATGTCCTAAACGTGTTAGATCTTGTGTCAGTTCAAAAGGGTGTTGAGTTTAGTGTGGCTGCTGAGAAGATAGCTATGAATGCGTAAACTATTGTAGAGGATGTGAAGCAGAAGTTGATGGAGACCACTACCAAATACAAGGAAGTTGTTGATAGGCACTGCCATGCCAAAGTGTTCAAGGAAAGAGATAATATAATGGTGCTCCTTTACAGAGAGAGATTTATGATGGGGTCATATAGCAAGTTGCAATAGAAAAAATATGATCCTTACACCATCCCAAAAAGGATTTATTGATTTACTCAATAATATAAGTATTTCCAAAAAATTTAGTGTTGGAAATTTATCTTTTCTATGATGATCAACCTTTGTATCCAAAGCTTGGAGATGATTGAGGTCAGGTCTTTCTTGGGATTGGTGTGGAGCATGTTGCAACTATATTTATGAATCATATAAACGATTTATGAATCATATAAACGAGACCAAGGTTGATGAAAAGTTCTCAGCATCTAATATGAAGCTTGAGATTGTTGTTTTAATTATTTTTCTAGTTAATTTTGGATATTATTTATTTGTTTTTAATTAATATTTATGAAACTTAATGCTAGATGGATTCCACTAATTAGGCAAGTTTTAATTAGGAATTTTTTTCTATAAATTTTTTTAGTTTTAATTACGAATTTTTTTCTATAAAGTATACTAGGACTAATATAAATAAAGATGAATACATTACGAAGGTATATCACAACTATATTGAATAAAAGTGCATCGCTTACAATGTCACCCTATTTTGCAATTCTATTTGTCTCAGCTTGTCTTGGTTTATTTAGTTCATGTGCTGCACAATATTTATTTTCTAAAGGGCCATTCTCTGGGTATAATTGATTGCGTCTCAGATTGCCACTGGCAAGCTTGCAGGTTTGAGTTGCAACCTGCTTTGGCAGTACAGACACTAGGTTTGATTTTATTTTACTATCTGTTGCATGTTAAGTGACATGGCTTGGTGCTTTGAATGAGATTTCAATAAGATGCATTTTAAATTGTAAGACCTGGTTATTTATCCATCTCTTCATTTTGAATAAAGCATGTTCTTCTCCTTCTCAGGTCTATAACCACTTTGACATGAAGCATGAAACTGCTGCTCTTTTAGAGTCACGAGCATGGCAGTCTTCTGAGCGGTGGTTTCACCGTTCTGATAAAGACCAAAATGAAGACCTCCTTGAATCAATGCGATATTTCATTGCAGCAGCTGGAGTTCACTCTTCCATTGATGCTGGAAATAAAACTCGCAGAGCTTGTGCTCATGCATCCCTTGTTTCCCTGCAAATTCGAATGCCAGATTGCAAGTGGCTGAACCTGTCTGAAACCAATGCTAGGCGATTATCAGTTGAGCAATCCCGTTTCCAGGAGGCCTTAATTGTTGCTGAAGCCTATGGTCTTAACCAGCCAAGTGAGTGGGCACTGGTGCTTTGGAATCAGATGTTAAAACCAGAACAAACAGAAGAGTTTGTCGCTGAATTTGTGGCTGTTCTTCCACTTCAGCCATCAATGCTTGTTGAATTAGCAAGGTTCTACAGGGCTGAGGTAGCAGCCAGAGGTGACCAATCCCAAGTCTCAGTTTGGCTGACTGGAGGAGGTTTACCTGCAGAAGGGGCTAAATATCTGGAGAGATCGTTTAGATGCTTGTTAAACTCGGGATTTGAGGTTAAGGGTGCAGCTGGCCACCACGGCAACTGGTTTTAGTGATATCCTTGATGTTTGCATGAAAGCATTGGACAAGGTCCCTGACAATGCTGCGCCACTTGTCCTCAGGAAAGGTCATGGCGGTGCCTACCTTCCGCTGATGTGAAAAATGGCAGTGTAAAGGTGGTGGTTATAGCAACACCTGACTTGATTGCAATGGAAGGTGATTGAAAATATTGGTGATAATAGCTAGATGCTATATCCTCGTAACGTCTTGTGATGGACCGGAAATTGGCCCAGTTGCAAATTAGCAAAAGAGTTTGAAGAACTAGGAATATACAAAGATCAACTCAATTAGTTTATACAACTGAAACAGTGTAAATTGGATTGGTTCTTTCTGCGTTTTGGTGGTGTTCAATTTGGGGCTGGTTTAATTTCCCTTTGATGCCATGAGCGAGGCCAAGTTCATTTTTGTAACAAATATGTACAATATGTCTATATGAAGCAAAATTCTTTTTGACGAGACTCTGTGGTGATCTCTCGTATGCCTCCAGATTAACGTGCCTTCTACTGATGTTGGTTCATGAGGAGGGGCCTACAGGTGACATGGGGTCCTATAAGAAAATCCTTCTACGAAAAAATTGTATTGATGACTACAATATTATGTTGAAGTGAAGGTCCCTTCTAACTTTTTGCAAATTATTCTGAATTTATTTATTGATATAAAAAGTTTTAAATGCATTAAAATCCGGATGTCCTTGTAATGATTCTCAAAGAATCCATTATATTAATATTAATAAATATATTCACAAAATACAGTTAATTTTGGAATAATGTTTTGATTTATTTTCCTTAATAATCCAATCTTCTTTTACTCTATTTAGTTTTTTTTTTAATATTAAGTTATCCGTTTTATAAATTTATTTTTTATTTCTATCGATTTCAACCTATATTAAAAATGTAAGGCATTAATGAAGAGCTTAAGGCAACTATAGTTGAAAACCAGAAGCAAACCAATCTACAGATGGAAGCATTGATGGTCACATTGACATCTTACATGGCTAAACAAACAATGGAAGGAATAAATAACTTCATTACCGATGGTGTGATTATAATTTCTAGAGGTTGCAATCGTGGAGATATTAGGGAAAATCAAGAAACAGCCGAGAAGGAAGGAGTAAAAACTCCAATTCTGATTGATTGATTCCTATTTCTAGAGGTTGTAATCGTGGAGATGTTAGGGAAAAATCAAGAAACAGTTGAAAAGGGAGTAAACAACTCCATTCCTGATGGTGTGATTCCCACTTCTAGAGGTTGCAATCGTGTAAATGTTGGGAGAAATCAAGAAGTTCAGAGAATGAAATACAATGTAGCCTTACCAAGAATTGACTTACCAACTCTATTCTCTCTAGTTCCTCTCAATCTCTATCTATTCTTCTTCTATCTCTCTCCTTTCTCTCTAGTTTCTTAGTTTTGTTAAGAGGGACCTCAACAAAGGTGTCAAGGAAAAGAAAAGAAAAAACTACCTCTGAACTCTAGCCAGGGGATTATTTTATTTGTTTTTCTATTTTAAAACTAATTAATCAATTCTCTTAAACTATATATAGATTGAGATCTGTATATAGACTAGGCAAATTCCATTGTTCCAATGGGCCTTAGTTCTTAGTTATGCTAGCAATCGGCAAAAGTTATCAAAGATTTTCTGAATTTATCAGTACTATATTTAATCATATTCACAAACACGATAATATATTTAGTCATCTTCTTTATATCTACATATACAGAGAGAAAGAGGAAACGATATCTTAGGTTATAAAAACTAAAATGACTGTTTTTCTCATTTAAAAAGTATAATGACAATATTTAATAACTTTGATTTTTATGGTAATTATTATTTTTTACCAAAAAAATCCAACAATATACCTGGAGGATAGCTTCCTTTTTTATTATTTTATTTCTGTGTATGGTTAAAGAAGCATGGTTTTGTATATGGTGTCGTCATTCTTTAATAAAAAATCATACAGGTAGCTAGATACATGGAATCCTTGTAGACTTTCTCAGAAATCAACGAAACTGCCAGTCATCTGGGTTATTTTCACATACAGGTGCATTCTCTTGAGTAAATTAGCCTAAAAACAATCTAAAACATGGAGCCTTCCATCAAGGAAAAGTGTAGCCAAAATTCTCAGAATGGGAACCGGCTGCTGCGAATGGTGGTGCATGTGAGGCAGGCAGGGGAGAGCATATTGTATTTGTGCTAAGCTGCATTGGCTAGCTAGCAGAAAAGGACTTGTCTGGAGAGTATTTTGAGGAGAAGATTTAAGTAGCAATTAGTCAGAATAATGATTGTCTCCTTTGATTGCTTTCTGATTGCTCCATAATCTTCTCCTCGAAATATTCTCTAATAATACCTAATGACATGATCAGTCAAATACCAGTAGAAAAAAAGGGGGGAGAGAGGGATCATGGCAAACGTTACACCCCCTTTCACCTTATGACAATCACACACTAAATTTAACTTTTTTCCCTCCCATTTCTGGTGGCCGCATAAAGCATTGTCAAAAACAGCAAATCTGTCAGAGTTAGTATCTAATTTTTGGATGCATCATTTGTCATTTGAGTTTAAAGGCCCTGCAAAAACCGAGCCCCTCTAAACTCTCGTTTAACCATCCCTTCTCATTTAAGTCTCTCAACTCCCATTGCTTCTAACATTACCTTGATAATATTTTCTTGCAGTTTGATCTGGCTCAGACCATGGCCAGAACCGGGCTGCTAGTATGGTCATATTGTTTGATTCTGGCATCAGTCAATGTTGTTCACGTCCTTTCTTCAACAGTCTTACCAGGTATAGGCGTGAACTGGGGCACGATGGCGTCGAATACATTGCCGCGTAATATAGTGGTTAACATGTTGAAAGACAATGGCATCAGTAAGGTTAAGCTTTTCGATTCTGATTCTCCGACCTTAAAGGCCTTGGCTGGCACAGGCATTGAGGTCATGGTTGGCATCCCTAATAACCAGATGTACATAGTAGCCGGTGATATAGAGGATGCCGAAGATTGGGTGAAAGAAAATGTCACCGCGTATCTTCATAATGGGGGTGTTGACATCAAGTTAGTTGAAATCTTATTTTTCATCTCTGTTTGTTCATGCTTTTCATCTCTGTTCTACATGAATTCTGCTTACTATTGCATTGAATTGATCCTTGCTCAATCTGCCTTCGTAGATATGTGGCTGTTGGGAATGAGCCTTTCTTGTCGAGCTATAATAACACATATGACAATATTACGTTCCCAGCATTGCAAAACGTTCAAAAGGCTTTGGACAAAGCTGGAGTCGGAGACAAAATCAAAGCTACAGTTGCTCTTAATGCTGATGTTTATGAATCCCTTTCGGACAAACCGTCCGGTGGTGATTTCCGTAAGGACATAAAGGGTATCATGATTCAGATTATCAAGTTTCTCCATCAAAATAAGGCTCCCTTCGTTGTTAACATTTATCCATTCCTTAGTCTGTATCAAAACGCTGGCTTCCCCTTCGATTATGCCTTCTTTGATGGTGGCAAAACAATCTCGGATAAAAATGTTTCATACAGCAATGTGTTTGATGCAAATTACGATACACTAGTTTGGACGCTGAAGAAGAATGGTGTTGGTGATTTGAAGATCATAATTGGGGAAGTTGGTTGGCCTACAGATGGTAACTTTAATGCTAACAACAAACTAGCTAAGAAGTTCTATGACGGTCTCCTAAAAAAGTTGGTCGCAAAGAAGGGAACCCCTCTCCGACCAGGCCTATTGGAATTGTATCTCTTTAGCCTAATCGACGAGAATCAGAAAAGCATTGCACCGGGACATTTTGAGAGACATTGGGGACTCTTTTACTATGATGGAAAGCCAAAGTTTCCAATAGATTTATCCGGAAAAGGCAACGACAAGATGCTAATAGCAGCAAAGGGAGTTCAGTACATGTCACCTCGATGGTGTGTGCTTAATGAGGAGAACAAGAACTTGAGCATGATAGCAGATGAAATCAGCTATGCTTGCTCTTTGGCTGATTGCACAAGCTTGGGTTATGGATCATCATGCAGCAAAATGGACAGTGATGGCAATGTTTCTTATGCTTTTAATATGTACTTCCAAATGCAGGATCAAGGTGATTATGCATGCAATTTCAATGGATTAGCAATGATAGTTAAAAAAAATGCCTCTCGGGGAAGCTGTCTTTTCCCATTGCAGCTTGTAGGAGCTGGAGAGAGGCTCGGATTGGCATATGGAGTAAGCATCATTGCAGGATTAATGTTGGCATTTTTCTCCCTGATGTAATAACATCTGGCTCATAATACCAATTTACAGCATTGGTATTGTAAGTTTTTATCATTACCATTTGTTTAGTATCATTTTCTTCTTCAGTCGCTTGGCTATTGACATAATGAGATAATTTTTCTAATCTTTTACCAGTACCCCACCTCAGAGTATGAGTGGAATTCGATCTCTAATCTCTAGCTAAAACGGCACAAAGAGGTTTCTTTAGTAATGATCAAGTTTTACCACTACCGGTGTCAATTATTCCCATTTCTTTCAGTGATGTGCTGTTAGCTTTGGCACTTGGAACAATCAATCTGCGTTCTGTGTATTAAATTAACATGCAAGAGTTTGGTGTTATGCCTATTAAAATCCGATTATGTGATCCCTCAATAGCAAATTACATCTTGACAACCATCCTATACTCGCCAATCTGTAAGAGTTTTAGTTGCCTCGCCAGAAACCAATCTCTTGCTCTCCTTTTCTGCAGGGTAGGCCCCATCTGGACTAAATAGGACTGTCCTGCTTGTAATGAAACAAACCCCAACTAAAATCATCGGATACGTTCACGATTGTCCAAAATTCATTCGAGATAACACCATTGTCCAAGACGCTAAAGTAAAATGTTCCCAGAATTTTCGATGCAATTGTCCAAGACGCTAAAGTAAAATGTTCCAGAATTTTGCTTCTTTCGATGCGATACTTTCGTCTCCTTCAAACTGTAGAGTAACTGAAACTGGCAGGGAAATTGATCATAAGCTGGGTTCTGTCCTGAAATCACCCGCCAGCTCCAATCCAGACTCTCTAACCAACCCACAAAAAGAACCTCCGCAGTTTTAGCCATGGGAGACACATAAGGGTTTTCAGGGACCTTAGCAGCCAATTCCAGACAACTGTTCTTCTGCAACACGCAGAGAAAATGCTTCCAGGTTTTGGACTTTCGTAAGAAGTAATACATCTATATTTACACACCTGATCGACTGGGCTTCATTTGTTCAAGCATTGAAGAACTTTCCAGCGGTTAGGATACAATGGGAAAGTTTAATATCTGAGGCCTACAGCTCCTAACCATGCAGTTCAAGGTAGAAAACCCCTTTGATCTCAGGTTCTTTAGGATTGGTGCAAGTCTTATATACGCATTGATTATTACTAGAAAGCAGAACCTTATGTCATCCACATTATGCCAGTCCCATGCTTTGGATACAGTCTGCACTACATCCATAGAATCACTTGTTTTCTCTGACTCAGAAATTCCAAATAAGGATCCACTGGTTTCATTCTGAACGTCAGATCCTCCTAATTTGTTCACTAGATTCGGAGATGAGGTAAAGCATTCAATGTTTGGACACTTTTTGTCAAAACATGATTTCCATATCATCTATAACCGGTATATAGACAAAATTATTCGTCAAAATTCTATACCTATATAAACTCAAACTCATATAAATTTATTATTTAAATAACTCAAACAAATAATAAGAAAACTAACTTTATAATATAATTTGATTATTTTAATACAAGAGTTAATATAAATTTATAATTGTGAAACACTAACTAAGTATAAAGAAAAAAATATTAATTACATCCTAAAAAGCAGGTTTTAAAGGTTCAACAAAATTGACACTTTAACAAACTATGAGTATGGGAAAAAAAAAAAAGAATGAATTCAACAATTCAATAAGTAAATATCATTCAATATACATACACAAGGAACATATATATATATATATATATATATATATATATATATGTATGTATGTATGTATGTATGTATGTATATATATGTATGTGTGTGTGTGTGTGAGGGGGGGGGTGTTTAAGTTCTTATATTAAATTTTTCTCAAATAGATCATAACAAGAATATCATAAGGTAAAGCTCATTAAAAAATTAAAATACAATGAGCATGAGGTTTCGTATTGTAAGATGATCAATTCATATAGAAAAGTGACTCCCCTAACCAACTAGAGTTTAGATATGATGTGCACAAAGACTAACACTGCCTTGTTAACATGAGTATTATAATTGATATATCATAGGTTCATATCATAATTAAACATACAAATTTATATCTCAAGGTTCAACTCATGACATCAATCAAATAAGAAGCTATCAATTTAGAGTTAATTCAAAAGTATATATTAGTTCATATCAATAATTCAAATTAAACAATTAATCATGCTTTATCGTAACAAGAATAATAATCAACACACATATACATATAATTCAATTTGTATTAACAATTCAAATATGTATATTATTTCTCATGCATATAAAAAATAATTCACTCACCTTACTCAAAAGATAATATAACTCTAAAGCAGATACCAAAGCCAATCCAATTAATGTCTCGCAAGTAGAATATCATGATTATCTAAATACTAAAAAAGATATACTAAAAAACAACTCAAAAAGAACATACAACCTATTTGATACACTTAACTAAGGGTCTAACTTATAAACATATATGTTTATGAACCAAACTAATTATTTTTTCTAAAAACCTAAAAATTAAATAATTTTCTCAAAATCTAATTAAGAAAAAAATTATTATAACTTGATAATAATTCACCAAAAAACCCTAAACTATTCCTAAAAAACAAATCTGTAAAAAAACTAAGATTACTGCTAGGGACCAATCTGAAATTTTATTAGATTTTTAGGGGTCAAATTATAATTTTATCAAATTAGAGGACTAAGCTAAAAATGTCATAAATATAATGGAATTTTGCCCATAATTCATTCTTAATTCTATATAGAATCTTGAATTATGCTTCAAGGACCAATCTAAAATTTTATCATATTTTTAGGGGTCAAATTGTAATTTTATCAAATTGGAGAATCAAACTAAAAATATCATAAATTCATAACTATACTAGAATTTTGCCTATAATTCATCCTCAATTCTATCTAGAATCTTGAAATTATGCTCTAGGGATGAATCTGTAATCTTTTCAAAGTTTGGACTAAACTGTAATTTTATATATTAAGTGAACAAATAAAATTTCATCATTTTCAACCTTAAGCCCATATTTTTCCATAGATGACTTGCTAATATAACCAAATTTTTAATTCAAATACAATTCTTAAACCCAGACCAGCCTGACGGGTTGACCAAATGGCTAGATCAGCCCAGGTTTGTTAAAAGATCGGTTCGTGCAACAACCCGAAAAAACCGATCAACTCGACAGGTCCATTACCCGAATGAACCCAAATGAGACTTAATTTCTTTTTTTCAAATGTGGTTTTTCTCCTATACCTCTCTTTTTATATATTTTTTTAATTGGTTATTAATACTTTTTAAAGTTCACTATATAGATATTAGAAAAATATTTTATTTTTTTAATTTAGAATTTGAAACCATTTAGTATATATACTCTATGTTGTCAAGAAAAAATTTATTTTTTCAATATGGGATTTGAAATCTTTTTGTATATATACTTTATGTTCATAAGTAAAAAAATCATGTTTTTTCAATGTAGGATTTGAAATCTTTTAGTATATATACTCTATATTTCCAATACATTTTTGTTTTTAATGTGGGATTTAAAATCATTTCATATATATATATATATATATATATATATATATATATATATGTAATGTTTTTTTCAATGTGGGATAAAAATGTTGTTCACTAGATTCGGAGATGAGGTAAAGGATTCAATGTTTGGTCACTTTGTCAAAATATGATTTCCACATCTATAACTGGCATATAGGCAAAATTCTTCGTCAAAATTCTATACCTATATAAACTCAAACTTATATAAATTTATTATTTAAATAACTCAAACAAATAATAACAAAACTAACTTTATAATATAATTTGATTATTTTAATACAAAAGTTAATATAAATTCATAGTTGTAAAACACTAACTAAGTATAAAGAAAACAAATATTAATTACATCCTAAAAAACAGGTTTTAAAGGTTTAACAAAATTGACACGCTAACAAACTATGAGTACAAAAAAAAAAAAAAGTGAATTCAACAACTCAATAAGTAAATATCATTTAATATACATACACAAGGAACATATATATATGTGTGTGTGTGTGTGTGTGTTGGGAGGGGGTGTTTAAGTTCTTATAGCAAATTTTTCTCAAATAGATCATAACAAGAATATCATAAGGTAAAACTTGTCAAAAAATCAAAATACAATAAGCATGAGGCTTCGTACTGTAAGATGATCAATTCATATAGAAAAGTGACTCCCCTGACCAACTAGAGTTTGGATATGATGTGCACAAAGACTAACACTACCTTGTTAACATGAGTATTATAATTGACATATCATAGGTTCATATCATAATTAAACATACAGATTTATATCTCAAGGTTCAACTTATGACATCAATCAAATAAGAAGCTATCAATTTAGAGTTAATTCAAAAGTATATATTAGTTCATATCAATAATTCAAATTAAACAATTAATCATACTTTATCGTAACAAGAATAATAATCAACACACATATACATATAATTCAATTTGTATTAACAATTCAAATATTTATATTATTTCTCATGCATATAAAAAATAATTCACTCACCTTACTTAAAAGATAATATAACTCTAAAACAGATACCAAAGTCAATCCAATTAATGTCCCGCAAGTAGAATATTATGATTATCTAAATACTAAAAGAGATATACTAAAAAAAAACTCAAAAAGAACGTACAACCTATTTAATACACTTAACTAAGGGTCTAACTTATAAACATATATGTTTATGAACCAAACTAATTATTTTTTCTAAAAACCTAAAAATTAAATAATTTTCTCAAAATCTAATTAAGAAAAAAATAATATAACTTGATAATAATTCACCAAAAAACCCTAAACTATTCCTAAAAAAAATCTGTAAAAAAACTAAGATTACAGTTAGGGATCAATCTGAAATTTTATTAGATTTTTAGGGGTCAAATTATAATTTTATCAAATTAGAGGACTAAGCTAAAAATGTCATAAATATAATGGAATTTTGCCCATAATTCATTCTTAATTCTATCTAGAATCTT